AGACATTTTGTCTTTTTATGCTGGCTGCTCGTTCTACAACTATTACTATTGAGGCACAAAATTGCTGTTATCAGCCCAGGCGACCTCAAAAGCCAAAATAGCTTGAAAAAAACAACAATATTTTCACTGCGGGCAGCAGGAAATGTTGTGTTGGCTGGCACTGTAGTTGTGGTTGTTGTTTGCGGCTAGTAAAACAAGTAAAATTGCATGCCAATGCACTGCACACACACACACACGCAACCACTAAAACACGCGCCCAGAGGCGGCTGGTATACGAAAGAGGGGCTTAGCCAGAACCTACCGTTTAATTGATATTTTTTTAAATTAGATTACTAAATTGAGCTACGTTCCCAAAATTCGTATTAAACCCCCCATGACACCCTTTTGGGTTTGCCGCCACTGCACACACATATTCAACTCTCCCTCTATACCTATCTTGGTATGTCTTCCTCTCGCGCTGGGCTCCACAAACTTCGTTTCAAAGTTGTTGCTGAGGCTGTTGCTGTTTTCTCATTCTCCTGCTTCTTTTTCCTCTTCTTCGCCTGCTGCTGCGCTGTTGTTACTGTTGTTGCTGTTGTTGTGCCGCTGAATTCGTACTCGAAAGGTCGTTTCAAAGCGGGTTTTCTGTCGCCGCGGCCAGAGCGTTGCCAGGCCGACGCAGAAACCTGCTTTGCTTTACATTTTTTTGTATTTGTATTTCTTTTTTTTAACCAGCCCAGCCAGCCCAGAGCCAGAGTTAAAAGCCAGCGAGCGAAACGCTTCTTTTGCTTTTATTTTTGAGAGACACGCGAATTGTGAGTCACGTATGAAGTAGAAACCGACTCTCGACAGTCGCTTTTTTTTTTGCTTTCTGAAATGGAGAAGGCAGCACTGACGCTTACGAGGGTCCCCTCCACACCTACTACCCATCTACACCCCCCTGTCCATCGTCTAACCGTCGACACAGTCAAGCGCAAAGTAAACAGCGGTAAAATGCTTAAGAGATTAGTCTCTCTTTCTCCCTCCCTCTCTCTCACGCTATCCTATTCAGATTGGTTCAAGTGTAATCTTAATATAAATGATATTGTACTTGTGCTCGTTTTTTACTTACCACCAATGCGATTGTTGTTGTTGGTGTTTTGGATTGGCATAAATAACAGAAGACACGGCGCTTCTCGCTTTATCCGCATTTTCATTTCACTTTTATGACTCACGCTGTTGCTGTCTCCGTCGCACTCGCAGCAGTTGCGTGTTGTTGACGTTGCCGTAGTGTTGTTGCTGCTGCTGCTGACGCTCTTGTTGTTGTTGTTGGTGCTGTTCGTTGCTCGATTCACACACATGCAGGCACACACACAAAACACTCACGTAAAACTGTTTTAAATTTAATATTTATTCCCAGCTCTTTGGTACTATATAATCTGTTATTATTGGTGGGGTGCGTATTGGGTATTAGATAATCCCAGGCGGAGGAGACACTTGTTGAGTGAGTGGCAGCCACTTCCCGTTAGTTAGTTATGCTGTGTTGCAACTCGACTTGTATTTCCACTTGTAGCGCGCTGTCTCAGGCCTATTCACGCGCGCACATTTGTCTCATTAACCAAAGTTGTTGTTGTTGTTTTTATTCTTGCTGGGTTTGATTGGACAATTACGGGCGGGTTTTTGCTTTGTTTTTTTTTTGTTGATTGCTGGATATGATGGGATGCTCTTTCACTAGTTACAGAACCAGGCAATCCCAAATTATATCAAGTTCTCTCCACCGACAAACGACACACGTTCGTTCGTTTCAACGTCCAAAACTCGATTTAACGGTAGAAATATAGATTACGGATTCTGTCGACGGCGACGCGTGTAGTGTGAATGAACACAATGGGACCGTGCGCTAATTGATTAAACATACCACACGACCCTCAAAAATATACCAAAATATACCATTTCATTTTAAAATTGTAACTTTAATATACCGTCAATATATTGTTTGTAGAAAAGATTTGAAAATCACCCAGAGAGTTTGAATTCCTCGGCATTTGTGCAAAGCCGTTTTCCTTGCATAGAGACACAAGGATAGTGTTGGTTAAGCATTAACATTAGCATTTAAGTTGACTTCTTCCTATTGGATGTTAGCGCGCCAGATACTTTGAATTCGATACCGAAAATAAATACTTTAAATAATAAATACCTTAAACACCGATTTTACGACCTTATGTGTCTTTTCAACTTTCAACCAATGAGCTAATTCCAAACAAATTCAAAAAGTAAATCAAGTCCAATTACTCAGCATTTCCTCTACTTCTCTACTCAGTTTTGCGTTTCAAATATGAGCAGAGTAAGATCATTCACAATTTCTTACTCTAACAGTGTGACCTGGAATAAGCCGCACGACCCTCAAAATACCGAAACACACCTTTTCAATTGTGAATATGTATAACGTAAACATAACAAATTTGAATATTTACCTTCGAATACATACCCTGCGAAATTTGGATTTAAAAAACTAAGGAACAGACTAAACAAATTATATCCTGGGTGCTAAGGGCTGAGCTTAAATTGGTTGAGTGTACCTTAAAAAAGACAGACCTGTTCTAGTCAATTTGCGTATCAAAACTTGAATTTACATTGTTTCGAAGCTTTCCATATTGAAATATTGTCATACGCTGAATTTTTCTTGGATTGTTTACGTCATAAAGTTCAAACTTAAAACGAAAGATCATGTGATTTTAAATATAGACAGAGATCGATGGAGCTACAAAGAAAAATTTCAAATAACAAGTTCAGCGATGTATTGCGGTGCGTTTGTTTGATCGCTTTTCTATTTTCTCCTTGCAAATTCTGAGCTGAGGCACACTCTGTGGTTCCTGATTGCCTTCGCGAGGATCAAGCAGCAAATACATCTGATGGAGCTGGGATCTCATTGGTTCGCCCCTTGACTTTACACAGCCTTGACTATGCCTGAGTTATCAGCAAGCTGTCGGTTCCGCTGGATAAGCCTAATCTGCTCTCGACGCACTGCGACCGAGTCTGTGCTCTAGGAGCAACCACAAGGTTGCACACCTAATACCAAAAAGGACATCAACATAATGACCAAAATATACAGAGATAATTAGGTGCTCCAAGCCTTTGTTTATTTAGTCGGTAAACAAAGACCGGTCATAATTGCGACTAGGTAATTAAGCTGAAAAAAATCCCTATCAAAATAATTTCATATTCAGTTATCTTGACAAGGGCCATGGCAGCAATGATCATATTGTATACAAATGACTACATAGGTGCTGATAAACAATACGCATATGTAGGAACATCCATTGACAGGCATCTAACATACTCCACGAGTAATGGGTATGGCAGAATTCTCTCACTTCCTCACTCACACACAAGCATATGTTGGTGCAGAGGCAGAAAAAACACACAATATCAATAGGCAAATTAGCGTTTATCAGAAGAAGACAACGACAAAAACAACAATGCTCCTTGTGTGTGGTGTGCCGTGGTTTTGTTTACAAAAATCTTCTTCCCCAAAGGAGAGCGAGCGCCGGCTCACGGTCACACACAGTGAGATAGAGCCCACAGAGAGAGCGAGAGCAGGTGGCGACTCGAGAGCTTTTGGGGGAGCAGCGCGCGTGAGTTGTAGAAATCATAGGCTGCGCATTCGCGTTTTTAACGTCGCCGCGTTGACTGTTTCGCCTTATTGCGGTTTCCTTATTTTATTTCATTTGTGTGAAACGTTGAATTAAGTTTAAATTAGTTTACAGTGCCTTTGTACGCTTTCGCTGGCTGTTGCTACTGTTTGCTGCCAGTGTGACGACACAGAAAACTCACAACATCAAAGAAAGTACAGTGAAGTGAAGTGTCAGTGCAGATTGAACCGTTACAATTCTGACACTTGCCGACTGAGAAAGAGAGTGCATGACAGAGAGATAGAGAGAAACAAACCAAACAAAATTACAGTTTGAATTTTATAAATAGTAACTTTTAAAAATAGCTTAATGCATAAACAAATTATGACATATCGAAAGACTGTGTTATTAAAGTATTAGGTGTTTTTCTCGTTGACTTTTGGTTTTGGCTAATTCCGGAACCCTTGTTGTCGCTACTGCTGCTTCTGAGGTAAGGTTTCGGTTTGCTGCATGGTGCTAATGTTTATAAATTTGCGCGCGTTTTCGGATATGGCAAGACAGCTGTTTCAATACCACACCATAAATATCTATTCCGATCAGGTCTCCTAAGATTGTTTGCTATTATCGTTTGGCAAGAAGGTAAAGATGCTCTGGCAACTCCTGTGACTGCTGCCTGTCATAGGTAGTATCGCCAGCAACACCTGATCTGCTTGAACTCTTATACATATACACTTAGAACGCATATTATACGCTCCCCCTGTGCCGTAACGTAACCACGAGATCACCAAGTTTCAGTTGTTGACGTTCTTGGCGGTTTTTGAGGTTAACAGCATTTTGAGGCGGCTTTGTTTCGACCCGAACCGATCCGAGCCGAACTCCAACAAAAGCAACAACTATTGAGTTGTCTTGGCCATGTAGAGAGGCCTAGACGGCTTAAAAACAATTAATAGCTACTATTTTGTCACTCGGTGACTTTTATGCCAAAATATTTGCCCAAGCTGTTGGCATTAGCGAATAATACAAATTGCTAAAGCACGCGCAATCTCTCGCTTACATTTTTCCGCCTCTCCACCGAATCCTACCCCTTATAAGTGGTGGGTAATTTGTTCTGGCCAGAGCCTGTCCCGTCATGTTGTGTTCTCCAATAATAATATGAGTGTAGTGTACGATGGATTGGTGTTTGTCCGTATGCTAATTAGTTTCATCATATCTCAAGGGGTGGGTCTGATACGGGACGAAGTCCCGTAATTGACAGTTTGATAAGCACAATATTGGATTCGGTCCTCATCGATCTGCTTGGAATTGTTTTGGGGCGGAGGAGACACACAAACGCGCACGTATGTATGTACGTATGGTAGCAATCAGAGTGTTTGTTTATATTTTACTCAATCACTCACTCTCTCCCTCTACTCTTCCGTAAATAACAAATGCATCTGTTCTGCGTACCGCCAATTGCTGCCAAACTGTCAACACTTTGATGGACATATTTCAGACAGTTTGGCAAGCGCCCGCCAGTATGAAGTGCTAAATATAAATCAGTTCTGTTCTAGCTATAGAACCGTATCCCAATCCCCAGTCCTCCTACTCTGCCGCATCAAAAGCAAATTAGGCGAACAGACGAGAAGGGTTGACATGTCCAAAAATAATCAAAGATTTGGCAGGAACAACGTCATTATACCTGGCTGGGCACCTGATGAGATGGAGATGGGGGGAATAGGTCTCGTGTCGCACGTGCTTGTGTGGCTCTGCAACTGTAAGACTTCTATTTATATTTTGCTGTTCATGCGTACAGAATTTACCCTCACCTTCGGTGTGCGCCGTCAATGCAAAACATTCAGTTTTTCTTGAGTTTATTTGGGATTCTTTTCCCGCTTCCGCTTCCCACATGGTAAAAGAAAAACTACATACAATCAAAAACAAATCTTGATATCATTATTTTCCCAAAAAATGTGTGTTCGTGTGGGTGGGTGTTTGTAGTTATTCTGTAATTTCTGTGGAAAACATTTGTTCGTTTATTTACCAACGGCGGGCAGAGTATGCTTTTCTGTTGGATTCTTCCTTTTCGGTCTGCCATGACATTTGTATTTCCCAATTTCCCCAAGATCTTAATGCATTATTCGCCCCGCTGCTGGCACTCACGTTTCTTCAAAGAGGAGACGAAGACATTGAAGACGCAGCCCATTAATTGGATTACAATTCTCTGCATTTTCCCTTTGTGGCTGTTGTTGCTGTTATTTTGCACGTTGCTCTCTCTCTCTCTCTCTCTCTCTCTCTCTCTCTCTACTACTCTTCTTTCTCTTCTTTGCTATTAGTCATACATGTACATACATATAAACATGTGTGCGAGGGGGGGTCAGGCTCTTCTACTTGTTGCGTAGCGATTAAGCACTGGCTAAACGCGACAGCAGGTGATTTGAAAAGCATCGAAAAACGGTACATCATTTACATGTATAGATCCACTGTTCCAAAAAGGATATTTATCTGACCTTATCTTTAACATCTTACAATACAAGAGGTATAACCCTTCTCCTCTGTTTCACCTCTGTTGACACCTGCTGCAAATCAGCACCTATCTTGTTAAGAAAGTGCTTAACTTTGCATATCTCTCCATTATGCACACCACCTCCCCTCTCCATTGCACAATCTTTCTCCTTTAATGACGGCCACAGTGCGACGTGGGGGAATTTCGTCTTCATATTGTAACCGTATATCCGTATGGTATGTATGAGAATGTGTGCAATAAAATCGTACACATTCACATATGTATGTACCTATACGTATATGTAGACGTATGCCAAATTACATTTTACTGTAGATTTGTGCCATTTTGTTCTTTTACAATGTTTTTTTTTGTTTTCGCACTGCAAAAGTTTCCACTCTGACGTTCACCGTTAAACTCTGCGCGCGCCATTTAAATATTTGAGCTGGAGATTAGCGAAATGGGATTGCTTTTTTGTGTAATTGTTAATTGGAATGCCGACTCTTTATTTATTCTTCTATCAGTCTAGGCCGTTCCGTTGGCATAGAATATGGTGCGGTGTGGAATAAATTGAATAGGCAGTCATAAAATGTGGCTTATATAGATAAAGTTGCTAAAAACAAAACGCTGCTGCAGACAAGACACACCTCTCGTTCAGGTTCTGGGCAAAACTTTAATTTATGAAGCACGCAGACGGCGAAATTGAATTCAACCCGAAAACAGATGTTTTGTTCTCTTTCGCACAAAACATACCGTACCCGTAATTTCTAAGTTAAACAATTTGCGCAATTCATTTGTTTGAGAGACCTCAAGAGACCCACCCCACCACAATCACCCAGCGAGTGGGGATCTCGAGATGAGATGTGCTGGACAGGTGCTAATTGCCTGACAAATTCGAAAACACGCAGCCCGCTCATGTGCCACGCCACCGGCTCGCCGACAAGAGTCTTGGGCAAATATGCATTATACAATCTGTGTATGCAGCTGAGCAGTGAGAAACATGTTAATAGATTCGATCATTCAATTTATTTACAGCATCTCGGGGGTATCCGATACTTGAACGAAAATGGGCCGATGGGGCCGGCAGAGTCCGGTGCTGGAGCCGCCGGATCCACAACCACAGGCACAGCCTCCACCCGCCATCCCGCCGCGCACCTTTATGAGGCAGTCGAGCATCACAAAGATTGGGAATATGCTGAACACGGCCATCAACATAAATGGAGCCAAGAAGCCGCAAAGTAAGTTTACGATTTTAAATATTCCCCCACAAATCTTAACAGCATTCATTCCATATGCGTTAACAGACTCATTTTTGTGTTTGCAAACATTCATCATTGGCCATTTTCCCACACTGAACCGCCGCCACACCGTTCGTTTATGGTAGCCTGGAACTCTAATTCGAAGATTGCTCCGGAGCTATCGATATTTTTCAAACAGTCGTCGAAACTAAGAAAGTAAAGCCAAATCAGTTACATCTTCAGTTATATGTACTCCATTGATATAACCCACGGAAATGTTTTGGTTAGTAAGAAAATATATATATATATATCGATGTACTGGTATCAATATATACATATTTAGCATACACAGGTTAGGGGCATTCTGATACTCTTTGGGAAAATAGGGTATCGGAACTACCATACGCATGCTTTTCAAATATCCGTTGAGGATTCTCTCTTCTCCGTGCTCCTCACTTCTTTCTTCTTCACTCTCTGTTGTTATTCCATCCTCACTCACGTTGTATGAGGCAGCAAAATGCTCCGAAAAGTAATCAGCATTGTTCCCCAACATGGGCACGGAATGATCATCACTATGATACCTTTGGGAAAATGGATATCCTTGATTTAGTAAAGTTTAAACATCTTTAGCTCCAATAAATGCAAAAACATGTCAATCTGTGTTGGTGAGCCTTCTTAACGAAATTGTTCAGATTATATATACTGAGAATGTATCTAGTCTAGATACTATCTGGATAGTACATATATACATAGAAAACATGTGAAAAGGTTAAAAGCATTATTAATGTTTAAAAGGAGCTGGTAAAAGGGAATTGTGATACCTATTATTGGAAAAAGGGTACACAAGTGCCCATACTATCGGTTGGCCAGCAATTGTCAAGCGACGTAAAATCCCATTCCCACCAACGAAACTTTGAATGCTATTTTTTTGGTTGATAATAATAAAGACAAGTCATGAAAACCAGACAATCTTGTGGAAAAATGAATGATGATTCGAATAAAACTACACTTTTTAAACTGAGAGTCCTAACTAGTTAGTAATGTTAAAGAGAAGATCAAAGTCGAGGAAAATGATTTAAGATTTACGGTATATTTACAGTATGTTTTGAAAATGAAAGTATATATTTCGGTATATTTCCGAGGGTCTGTCAGTATATTTTATCGAAAATTCCGCGGTCACACTGGTCACCCTGCTAGGGAACTAAAGTGCGAAATTTGCAACAAAATTTTTTACTTCCATTTTTGCGTTGAATTTATCGTAATCTATTAGTCATATATTAAGCTAGGGTTATAAACAGTGCTCCAGTTTTGAATCGGCAATCCAATTGCGTTATTTCAGCCGTGTACATAGTCTAAAAGTGCGTAAACGTAAATAGAAGCCGCTTTGCAAAAAATCCACTCATTACGACGCAACGACGAAGCAGTGCAGCAAAAGAGGCGGCAAAAAGCGGAAGAAGAAGCATGAGGACCAGCGGCCGCAGCACAGAATCTCGCTTCAGCCACAAGCTTTGCCATTTTTGATTTTGATTTGATTGTTCGCCCAGACGCGCCCGGCCCCCGGACGGACGGACGGTGTGATAGTGTCTTTGTGCCGAATCGCTGCGTGTTAGCCAAAATAAATAAAGTGAAATGCATTAAAATCGAATCGAATATTGATTGTGTGTGTCGCGTCCGCTAAACAAAGTATCAGTCACGCGGTTTTTGGACCAGAAAGCCAGTCAAATGCATAAGCCACTGCAGCTGTGAGAAAGTGCTCTGAGGCCTGGAATCAGAATATATATATATATACGTATACATGTACCTATGCACGCTTTGAAGGTTAGATTTTATATATATTTGTTCGGTCGGGTGAAGAAAACGCGATAAAACAAAGGCACAAAACGAGCGACGCAAAAACGCGAATGTCTGTGCTGTGCTGCCTACTGCGGATATAGTGTGTTTGTGTGTGTGTGTATGTGTTTGTTTTGGCAAATGCAATAAATAAAAAGTAATCTTAATTATTAAGCAATTATTCCGTGTATAATTATCGCGCTTACAATGCCACGGTTTATTAGAACAGCGGGAGAACGAGGCGGCAGTGTGAAGTAATTTTTGTGCTCATCTCACAACCACCGGCTGCACTCCTACTCTCTCGCTCGCTCGCACACACACACATTCACACGCGCAAAAAACGCACGTTATACTGCTGCCCCTTCCGCTGCTTATGCTGCGTCGTCGTCTTCGTAGTTGTGTTCGTCGTCATACAAAAGAAAAATTCCCCTACTTTGCAGTTTCTTCCCCACATGTCGTCGTCTCTACGTGCTTAAGTTGTGTGTTAAAAGCAACCACAAATATATGCATTGATATAAACCAAAGTATAATCAAAGAATACCCCAACGGAGAAGCAAAAAACAAAAGGAAACTGCGAAGGAAGCAAAGTCAACGAGCGCTTAACGTCCTCTTCTTTTCATTTGTTCGTCGGCGTTTTTTTTTGTTGTACATGCAGTGTTAGAAAGCTCCTGTGGCGACAGCGAAAAGAAACCGCGCTTAACTCCTCCACAAAACACAAAAACGGCAACACAACAACAACACACATACACGCACAGTTGAGAGAGCGGTTTCAGGCCAAAGAGAGTACGAATAAGACAGCGCGAGCGCGGCTCCTTGGCCTTCTTTCTGCTAGTGTGTGGTTGTTGTTGCTGCTGCTGCTTGTGCCGCCGCCGTCGCTGCTTTATCGACGCAAACTGTTCAACTGTCATGGCCGGTAAGTGAATTCATCCTCTCGCTCTCCCGCCCGCCTTAATGGGGCTGCCAACTGTCGTTGTTTCTGTGTGCGTCGGTGTGTTCTCGCGTTTCATTTTTATTTTGGCATTAAATTTGCAACAGCACATAAACAAATTCTCCTTCCCATACCCCGTGAAGTAAACAAACTGGTCAAATGCGTTCCGTCGAGCTAAAAACAACTTTTCCCTATCGACTAGCATTGATCTTTGCACTTGAGCGAAATGCCGCTAGCTACGTGAGCGGAATACACGCAATTGACAGGCCTGCCCTGCCCTGCCCTGCCCTGAACACCTCCTTCCCGGTTTCGGACCCACGCTTCCCCTCCCCATTCAATTTTCAAACAAATGCTCGCCCCCGCCCGACAATTGCAAGTCGTTAAGGAAAAGCAGTCGTAAGGCACACTTGTTTACCCTTCCAGAGAGGGGTGATGTGATGTTATCTGTCTGTCGCTTTCTTAAATATGCTTCAACATCTCATGACCAGATCGAACTAATAAATAGGGGTGAAAGGCATCGTTTTCAAAATGTCTGAGTATATAAAATTCGGTGGCCATTTTATTATTTCCTTCCTTGATCGAAGTCAAAGAAATACTTCTGGCGGACAGGCTTACTTTTTGGTTCGGTTCACAGAGAAATACATATACAACGTACATATAAGTGAGCGTGGACCCCACGCTTCCCTGAGGCACAGACACAAAACTACTATAATTAAATAACAAACAATTGCACAAGCATTGAGAATGCGGCGTACAAATGAGGTGGGTCAATAGATGGTGAGTGCTCGGATCTGGATCGTGTTTTGCCTTGTGTAAATTGAGCTAAAGTCAACGATGTCGTTGCTGTTGCTGTTGCCGTTGCCGCAATGGACCAAAGACAGCCAACCTCCCCCAACCGTGTATCCCCTTCAGCCATATTCTCTCTAAATTTTTGCCCAGACGTGACGTCGCAGAGCTCTCCGTTTGTGTCCATATCTGGATGTGGATGGTGGATGTGGATGCGGTGCATGTGATGTATGCAAAATTATTTTGCCAATTTCATATGCTGCCGTATCTGTTTTTGCTGTTCGTGTTGTTGTTCTTGTTATTTCCTTTTGGATGTGCGAAGCTCGTTTTGTCTAAATAATGTATCTGCAAGATACGCACAAGTAGCCAGCGACGACTCGGACTGGGGTGTCATGTAAATAGTTAGTAAAACATTGTCACTAAGGGATACTACACTACACAAGTTTTCGATGTTTCATTCATATCAGGGGGCCAGACGAGGCAGGGAAGCGAACAGCCAAAGATAAGAAAATGAGAGGGCAACGGAGCGCAACAACGGAACGGTAAGGTGACAGATTGATGTGTACCTTAGATTAGATTGGATATGGTAATTGGCAGGGCGATGGTGGGGAAATGGTGGGAAAGGGTGGACAACCAGGAAACTATTTTCTTGTTCTGTTCTCAATTTGTAATATTATGTTTGTAAATTTGTACTCCTCTAAAAAGCCACATGATGCGCAAAACATTATATTTAATGATGTTATGTTGTTTGTTGCTTCGTTTCAGTCTATTCGATTTACTAGAAGGATGCTTGGGGTAGTTATTGAATGTATGTTTAAAGATGAAGGGTGGTCGGGTAGGGCTGGTCTTCAGAAAAGGAAAATAAACTGTCTTAAAGGAGTATTTCGAAGTTAAAACTTAACTGGAGTAGCTCTAGCTCGAGAGACAACCAGGGAAGTGTAAAAAAACCGCATTCATTGCTTGCGCATACCCAGCTAAATGCGTATTTGACTAGAATTTCGCTGATTAGGATTTTTGTTGATATTTTCTTATATTGCTTTCAAATTTAAGAATACAAGTCAAAATTTGTGCCGAGACAACTCTAATAATTTAAATTGAATAATTTTGAATACATTTTCACCAAGGCAGCTGTCTGCACTGCTTGAATGTCGTAATGTAATGGAATGTAAGCAGTTCCTAATGTTCCAGCTGCTTTTCTTTTCTCCTCTGTTTGTCCCTTTGTCCTAATTAATCCTTTTGGTAAAATATTCAAAATTGCCTACTGATTCGGTCATGTAGAAGGAGCCATTTCTCTGATGTTTTAAAAGCCAGCTTTGAATATTGTCTAATGTTTGGCTGCCAAAAAAAGGATTCTCTCTCAAGTAGAACCTTCATTCCTTTGTTACGTATGTATTTCACTTTTCTATTCTCTAGCTCTGTGGCAATGCCATTCTCTAGGTCGGGTTTATGCGTCTGCTGTCTAGCACGGGTGCCTCTGAGCCCTGGAGAGAGATAGAGAGAGAAAGGAGAAATAGCGAGAAAGAGCAGCGACATCGCGTGATTGTGTTAAATAATTGTGTCAATATTTGAGTTTCATTATTTTGCTCCATTTTGCGCCCGCTCATGAAAATCTACTTATCTCTTTATGTGTTGTACAATAAGCTTTATACTCGTACACACATAGGATCTGCATCGGTATGTACTCAAGCATCTAAAAAATAAATAGACAAGCGACTAGCGAGAGCAATTTCGGATTTTTTGCTATTTTTTCTATATACTTTTCAGCAATTATCCAAGATTTATTTATTTTCTGTTATTCGTGTGCCATGGGAAACCATGCGACCGCGTTTGGGGAGCAATTATATCATTGCAGCACCAAAACAGATTCGTTTTGGGTTGATGGAAGTCAGAAAATGGATGGGAACTGAGAAACTATGGGTGTGATAGGTAGGGATGTACTGGATGCATTTTTTTTTTAAATATCCGATTGGGGTAAATGTTCAATGATTGTAGATGCAGTAATTGATTTTCGGATGATCACAATATTGAGACTTAATAATCAATGGGAGAAAAGTACTTTGGATGCATATCTTTCTTTCTTTGCTAAATAGTGTTCTGCAGTATATTCGTCGAGTTCAATGACTAGAAAACTGTAGTGTGGATGTGGGCGGTGGTGTTGGTGTGGCAGGTCTGTCGTCTCTCGGTCTATCGTATTCTCTAAATATCTAAGAATAGATTATAGGCCGAGTTATGACTGACTAATTAACCGACTGCCTTTGATCCTATTATGGAAGGGTAAAGCCGGGTAAAGAACGAACATAGTAGAAGGAAAGACAGAAGACAGACAGAAACACACACACACAATTGCTGCGCCTCGTCAATCACATCTCATGACGTAGTCAATGGCAGCCAGAGCAGAGAAACGGCAGCCAACGAACAACAGGCCAACAACCAATAACCAGCCCAATAATGAGGTCACAGCACATGGGACTGGGCGGGGCAAGGGCGTTGTGCCTGTGACTGTAGTAGTAGTGCCGCAAAAATCAAACAAACAAAAGCAAAAAATGAATATTTAGAAATGATGAAAAAATTGGCAAAATTCAGATGCCACAAAAAGGGGAAAGAGGAAGGGAAACCATAGACAAAAAGACAGAGGAAGTAAAACACGTACAGTGGGCACCCTGTTTCGGTCAATGCTGAGGAAATTAAATGTATTAAATAAATAAAATTACAACATTTAAATCGATTTGTGTGAGTAATTAATTACAATCTAAGAGTAAGTTGGATTCTCCAGTGGAAATCGGCTTCCATTCATTACCAAAGTATTCAATTTAATACAATCGGAAGATCAGGGATCACGAAGGGCTAGGACAATATTCTTTAAGGTTTGCTTGAAACTATGGCATCCTCTGCAAGGGTATAAAGACAGAAAAGCATTTTCAAAATTAATGTTCTTATGTGTTCCATATGAAAGCGTGGGCGGTGGAGAGGACGCTTAAGTCAGAGAGATACCCCCAGCGATGGGGATTGGAATGGGGACGTGGTCCAACGTCATCGTTTACACAACGTACCGCAATCGCGAAAAGTAGTGCTGGCAGGCCGGAATTGGCAAACACAGAGACGGGAGGAAGGAGAATAGAAACTGAAACCGAAACGGAAAGAATATTTGGCCAAGAGCTTAAAGGGCTTTAAAGTGCGCTGTTCCATCATCGGAGCAGACGACGATGAGAATCCAAGTGGATGTTGGTGTGGTGATGGGTTGTGGAAGGCCAGGAATGTCGTCATTAGCAAATATTTGAGCAAGACAGGACAACGACGCCGTCATCGTCATCAGGTCGTCCTTCCCAGAGCTACCAGCTATTGATTCGACCATTCGAGTGTGAGTGCGAGAGAGTGCTTGAGAGACGATGAGAAGAAAATCAAATGTAACAAGTCCAAAGCTTCGGGTCGGGCAGGGCCAATTGCATTCAGCTAAGGGAACTCGAACAGACCGAAAGTGTCATCTACAATAATCATCATTTGGCTGTGCTCTCTCTTTGCAGGTAATGGAGAGGCGTCCTGGTGCTTCTCACAGATTAAGGGCGCCTTGGACGATGATGTCACAGATGCGGATATCATATCCTGCGTGGAATTCAATCACGATGGCGAGCTGCTGGCCACCGGCGACAAGGGCGGTCGCGTCGTCATCTTTCAGGTAAGTGCAATCGGGTTGAATTACGTATATAAATACTGATACTTTGTTTCGATTTGCAGCGTGATCCTGCCTCGAAAGCCGCCAATCCGCGACGCGGCGAATACAATGTCTATTCGACATTCCAATCGCACGAGCCCGAATTCGATTACCTCAAGTCGCTGGAGATCGAGGAGAAGATCAACAAAATCCGATGGCTGCAACAGAAGAATCCCGTGCACTTTCTGCTTTCCACCAACGACAAGACGGTCAAGTTGTGGAAGGTCAGCGAGCGCGACAAGTCCTTTGAGGGCTACAACACGAAAGAGGAGAACGGTCTGATCAGGGATCCCCAAAATGTAACCGCCTTACGAGTTCCTTCTGTGAAGCAGATACCGCTTATGGTGGAGGCCTCGCCGCGTCGCACCTTCGCCAATGCACACACCTATCACATAAATTCAATTAGCGTTAATTCCGATCAAGAGACGTTCCTCTCCGCCGACGATTTGCGCATCAATCTCTGGCACTTGGAGGTGGTCAATCAGAGCTACAACATTGTCGACATAAAGCCAACCAACATGGAAGAGCTCACGGAGGTGATCACTGCAGCTGAATTCCATCCGACGGAGTGCAATGTGTTCGTCTACTCGAGCTCCAAGGGCACAATACGTTTATGTGATATGCGTTCGGCGGCGTTATGCGACCGGCACAGCAAACAGTTCGAGGAGCCCGAGAATCCAACGAATCGCAGTTTCTTCAGCGAGATAATCAGCTCCATCAGCGATGTTAAGCTGAGCAATTCAGGGCGGTATATGATATCCAGGGATTATCTGAGCATCAAGGTGTGGGACTTGCATATGGAAACGAAGCCGATTGAGACCTATCCGGTGAGTGTGTGGATTGCGCTACGGATTAGACTTTCTCTTAACTATTGCCATGTGTTTCTCTTTTTTTAGGTCCACGAATACCTGCGCGCTAAGCTGTGCTCGCTGTATGAGAACGATTGCATTTTCGACAAGTTCGAGTGCTGTTGGAACGGCAAGGATAGCTCGATCATGACTGGCAGCTATAATAACTTTTTCCGTGTCTTTGATCGCAACTCGAAAAAGGATGTCACGCTGGAGGCCTCCAGGGACATTATTAAGCCCAAGACGGTGCTCAAGCCGCGAAAAGTTTGCACTGGCGGCAAACGGAAGAAGGACGAGATCAGCGTGGACTGTCTCGACTTTAACAAGAAAATTCTTCACACCGCCTGGCATCCGGAAGAGAATATCATTGCTGTGGCTGCGACCAACAATCTATTCATATTTCAGGATAAATTTTAGCCAACACTCTATGAACCAGAATACACCAGAATCACACACCCACAACAACAGCAGCAACAACAACAACAAAAAACACGCCTGAGCCTCAGCCACAGCAGGAGCCATTGCCCTTGCAGCAGTCGCCTCATTTTATTTCTAATGTTAATTCGATTGTTTTCCCATTCAATTCAAATGATTTGTTGTTTGTTAAATTATACCTCTCTCAGGCCCCCCCCCCCCCCCCCCCCCCCCCCCCCCCAACCCTTCCATACCTGTACCCCAACAAAATCTTAAAAACAAAACATAATGCCATAGCAAATGATTTGTACATTTTTTGCGCATTGTTCAGGCGCCCGCAACAAATGTGGAACAAAAAGAAAACTTAAGAGAAATGATGAAGTTGAGATAGTTCGAGAGAGAAGGAAAGAAGCGGAAACAAATTTTTTATACATAACATTTATAAATAAATAGCGTAAAGTTGATTTCTTGTAGCGCAATTGAAAAGGCAACAATAAGAGGTACCACTAAAGTTTCATGATTACTGATAAAAGAACAGATGATTTTCCCTAAAATTATGTATAATTAGAGAAGCCAGCGCCCAAGTATTTGTAATACAAATTATTAATAATAATATACAACAAAAACATAAACAACAAAAAAACAATGATAATGATTATGATGATTATGATTATGATGATGAAATGCAATGCATACTGTAATATTCTTTCTGTTTGCTTGTTAAGTTTAAGGGAGAAATGAAAACGAAAAAAAGTCAAGTCAAGGAACCCTGTTAGCTCTTTTCTATACACACACATATATACAAATACTACACACACACAACCACACATATATATCTGATTGTTTATGCGCTTTCGACCAAGTTCATTCCATGCTACAATAATATCAGAGAGATGATGTCAAAGTTTTGTGTCTCATCAGAATAGCTCTGGAGTTTGTCTCTCAGTCATTGCCTGCTCCTCGCTCATGCGACGAAGCACAGCAAACAATTCAAAATGCTCATTTATAAACACACTTTTTATTCACTAAGAAGAATCCAGAGGAATAGAGGCAGTGAGGAAGAAGTAAGAGTATGAATAAAATGCGTTGATATAAACGATACAACACACATTTATAAAGCAAAACGGCAGCCTAAGTTTAACCTCTAAATTTAGTGCTACCAATTCGTTTAATTAAAAAAAAAAACTATCTAAAAAGAGAAAGCAAGATCATAAAAACAAAACAAAAAGAAAAACTATTTTTATACGCTACATTTTAAGCTAAGTATTGCTACTTTTAGTTCGACTATGCGTGCGTGCGTCCAAGACCGATTCTCACATGTAGCCTGCCTTCCTGCCTACCTACCCCATGTCCCCCATACATCTCCCATATACCATTCTTTCCGAGACTTTTTCCAGCCTGTTTATTGTTTTGTAAAGTTTTATTTTTTCATCACGAAATGCAAATAAAGTGACCCACTTTTTATAGGTTATCTAGTGTCTAGTGTTAACAATTAAATAAACAAACAATAAATGAAAGCAAAGGTTAAAAATAAAACGAAGAAAGTATGCGCTAAAAATGTTAAACGAGATTTTTCTGAATGGCGGCGCAAGTTCAAAAATATTGAGAATGTAAAAGCATAAAATTATGAAATAAAAACTAAAACAACAACCATAAATTGTGCTTCTTATGAGAATAATTACGTATACATATATATTTAAAAGTAATATTGTATTTTCAATGAACTAGTTATACGGACAAAGCAAAGACAAAGAGAAAGAGATAGAAATGCCGGACGGAGAGAATAGAGAGAGCAGAGAGCGGTTAGGATATATAGACATGTACGAAATCAGATGAAAAGTGAAACAGCAACCAACTTGTTTGTGAAATACAGTCAGTGAGAATATTGGTTGAAAACTCAGAATTTGAGAATTTGTATACACATTCATTTTTCGACGTCATATTTTTTGTTTGTTTGCAAATTTTTTACCATTTTGTTTTTCTCTCTTTCATGCAACGCACATTCTTTCAATAAATGCCTTTTTGTAAATAAAATCGCAATAAAAAAGGAAAACGATAATCTTAAAAATCATTCATAAAATGAAATAAAATCCAAAAACAGTCTAGTAGACTGTCCAACAAATAAATAAATGGCAAACCGGCAGAGAAAAAACAAAATGCAATTGATTAGTTTTCAAAACATTAATTGAATTGCTATACAAAATAAAGATCAGATACAAAAGAAACGTAAGAATACAATTTAGTTTTGCAAGCAAGAAAATTGACAAAAATAATCCAAAAGTGTGTATGTTTTTTCTTGGGATAATGTAATGGGTACTATTATCAGAATCATATCTTCCATACTAAGCATGAGTCGGGGAAGTGATACGTGGGCAAAGCTGTGCATACCCTTGCATTACTATCGGAAGTCTCACAACCAGTCAGAAAACTATGAGTGCACCTCGCTTTTTCCCATACAACATACCGCCAGTACCGTTATGAACTGCGTGGGCCATTCCAATGCAAGGCACGCATGTTCACAACACAGCGATCGGGAGAGAGCAGCGGCGAGAGCGTAAAGCTCTCTTAACGTATGAAAGCTTCGAACTTCGAAAGAAACGAAGAAACAAAACGTATCCGAAATTAACGGCCACGCCAAGACAGACCCAACGGAGTCGGCTCAGTCCACTGAGAGACACGGCGCGGCTTGGTTTATTTGAACAACAGATGAAAAAAGCGAAGAGAAGTGAACAAAAAGACGCCGGATCTGCGACTCAAACCGGTTTTGGCCTATCGAATACGAAAAACAAAAGCATAGCAGCGAAAACGCATGCAAGTGTCGAAACGACCTTAAGATAAACCCAGGAACAAATTCAACCAAATAACTTGGCTTTAAAGAAATTGATTAAACATTTGGTCAATACTTGGATAACTGCAAAACATGCAAAATGCTGCAGCTGCTGCGTGTGCTAGGAGTCTGTAGAGACTGAAAGAGCGAAAGCACAGAGACATTGGTATAAACGCGAGACAGTGACAGCAGTACGTGGCGCAGGAAGTGGGAGTACTAGTGGGAGAGAGACCGAGAGGTCCAGTCCGCAGCAAAATGACATTGAGAAACCAAGGCGGCAGCACCAGCGACGATGGCGTTCTTTGTGATCGCTGCTGCACCAGCAGAACACAGGGACAGGGACGCCGACTGCAGAAGCAACAGCTGGCTTTTGTGACGCTTTTCCTGCTTTTCCTTGCTGCTGCTGGTCCGCACAGTGCCCGTAAGTAGGGGGGAACGGCACGATTAATTGCAATATCACGTTAAAAATGCAAAAAGAAAGAGAAATTTCAACAAGCGTTACGCTCGAGACATGGCAAAAACAAATTCACTTTCGTATAAAACTAGAGAAACTGGTCTACCGTCTGGCTGGGTCTGCCTCTGGCCGAGAGAGGGCGCCGCCGTATCGCCGCCCTAGTGGCAGTAATTCAAAAGCCAAATCGCCCCCGGCCTGGCCCATTAGTCAGACGGGGCAAAAGACCCACAAACGAGTTTGTGACAAAAGTCTTTCGTTGAGGGCCGGCTCTTAGCTAACATTTTCTTCTCATCTCATCCACAGGTGCCCAGAGCGAGGATGACGAAGAAGATGGCCCGTACCGTGGAAAATACTTGGGAAAACTGAACTCGTATCATCATCAGGTGTCCGGCGATGTGTATGCCGTGAACGAGTACACCTTCCTCATAGTGGGCTTTAATTACGATGGCAACGGAGCGGATACGTTCTTCTGGTCGGGGGCCAGCAATCGGCCGGGGCCGCAGGGCTTTATAGTGCCCGACGAGTACGGCAAGTAAGTTAAATTGTTGTTCTCTCCCTCAATATTTCCTGCTGCTATAATTGACTCTCTCGCAACTTAGAACCAACATTTTAGATCGCTATCACAACAAGGACTTTACCCTTAGTCTGCCCGATCGCAAGAAGATTACGGAAATCAAATGGCTTGCCGTCTATGACCTGAACAACCAGAACAACTTTGGCGATGTCTTCATACCGGAGGAGTTTGAGCCACCACGACCGCAGCTGGGCGGAACCTTCTCGAAGCGCAGCCACAATGTCAGCAGCAGCAGCATGGAGATCCTGGATTCCAAGACCATACGCATCAAGGACTTCACTTATGATGGCCTCGGCAAGCGGACTTTCTTCTGGACGGGAGTGGGCGCACAGCCATCGAGCAGAGGCAGCAAAATGCCCGACGAGAGTGGATAGTAAGTGCCACACAAGGTTCTGTTTATTCTTAATCTCATTTTATTCCTTGCTTCAGTCTTGATCCCATACGGAGGTATAACAAGGAGACCATCGAACTGGAGTTGCCGGGCGACAAAACCATCTTCGACATCGATTGGATCAGCATCTACGACGTGGCCGACAATGAGAACTTTGGCCATGTGCTCATCAACGACGGGCTGAATGTGCCGCCCTCTCTGGTGAAGGTCACGCCCTTTGAGTTCTCGCTACCCAATTGCCGGCAGCTGCACAAGGATCTGCAGGTGTCCTGGGAGGTGTTTGGGCCGCAGATCACCTTCCAGCTGTCCGGCCAGGTGGCTGCCAACGATTACATGTCCTTTGGCATCTCTGGATCTGATGTCTCCAGCAAAATGATTGGCGCCGATGTTGTAGTGGCCTACATCGATGAGATCCGGGGCTATACCGTGGACTATAACATCACCTCGCTGGCACCCTGTGTCCAGGTGCTCGGCCAGAACAAGGGCGTGTGTCGGGACGATGTGGTGGGCGGTCTGGACAGCTTCCAGTTGAACACATACAGCCGGAAGGAGGGCATCAACACCATCAGTTTCAGGCGCATCCTCAAGTCATGTGAGTGGCTACGCGATCTTCTGCTGCTGTCATCGATTTAACTTCTAATTTATACTCTCTGCAGCCGATGATGGTGATAAGGAGATATTTTTGGATCGCAGTAACTATGTCGTGTGGGCCTTTGGCCAGTTGGACTCGAACAACGAGCCGGCCTTTCACACACACTATCCGAAGAGTGACATTGTGATTGATTTTAATACCACGGAGCCGGTCAACGATTGCTTTGCCTTCACCAAGCGCACGGAGACGCCTGTGCAGCTGTGGGAGCGCACAAGGATCACAGATGCGTAAGTGGGATGCTTTGCCATGAAATTCATTGTCCTCTTGTATGATTCGCATTTCTTGCAGCACTGTGCGTACTTTCAATGCTTATCTTGGTCCATCGGGCGGTCTGCGTGGCTATCAGGGGCTAACCGGTCACGTGTCCAGCGGCCTGGCCTGGTACATCAACGGCTACATGATACCCGAGCTCTATTTGAAGCGCGGCCTCACGTACACGTTCAAGGTGCGCGGCGGCAACAATCCCCACTCGCCGGAGCACTATCACCCATTGGTGATAACGGACGATCCGCAGGGCGGCTTTGATCGGCTGTCAGATGCCAAGCAAAGCGAAATCCGTGTGCTGGCCGGTGTAGAGTTCACCCGTCGAGGTCGGCCCAAGCCCACGGCGGCGGGACCCCTCTGCCTGTCCAGCTATCCACCCAACTACGATCGCCGCTTGGATGACAACTTTCCCACATTTAAAAAGTTCAATCGAACCCTGATAACCGAGTGCGTGGACGAGGCCCCAGCACTACTGGAGATTACTCCGAACATTACCTGGCCCGATACGGTCTACTATAATTCCTTCACGCACGGCAACATGGGCTGGAAGATCCACATCGTGGACAGCTACACAAATCTGCGACACAGCGGCCAGTCTAGGCTCACCGTGTGGTCGTGGCCCGTCGCCTGTGTGCTGCTGCCTTTAATTGTGCTGCTGGCTCATCCGGCTAAATGTTGACTGTTGTTTTCTCAAGTAGTTTAGGCCACTAAAGTGCATATTTATGGATTTATTCTAAGTTGATCTGCCACAATGAGTGGATTGGAGATTGTGGAGTGAAGGCCACTTCACCCATTTTGTGTATAATAATATTATCTATTTAAAACGTAAATAAATGCAAATCTGTGTTTTATTTTAGACGAAATCAAATCAATTATTTCAATGTGATAACAAACTTGTTTTTTGCATTCATTTTTAAGCGGAAATAAAAAAAGAAATTCGTTTAGAAGTTTAATCCAATTTATGAAATTGAAACAAATATGAAAGAAATGGCCGAAGCATTGGTAAATGATG